CGTATTACTAGATATTATGCATTTTATGGAGCTATTAGAGTATATTTGCATTTGTCAAATGCCATATCTATTATACGTCCATATACATAATATACACATATACCATTTATAATTACATATATATATAGAGAGATATATGACATTATAAATTCAGTGCACTCTGTCTATTTCGGGATGGCCTCATCAATAAGGATGAATTAAGATCATTGTGTCTCTAGAAGATTTTTTTGGCCTTAATTTACGGAGTGTAAAATTGACACCAATAATACAGGAACCAGTAAGAACAGAGAGAGAACTGTTTTGTCCAGTGAGCAGAGAGATAATTTTCAACAGATGACACTTGTCCTGAGTTTGGGGTGAGAAAGAGAAGTTAGCTAGACAGTGTCTAGGAGAAGTGGGCATTTCTAAGTCAGCAGGTGTGTGTGGCCGGCATGAACAATTATTAATATGGTGTTGCTGGAGCACGGGGTAATATGGGATCAGTGGAGACAGAGCCAGAGAGTCAGGCCAGGGTCAGATCCCTGAGAACATTGGAAGTTATTCTGGTGGAGTTTGGTCTTTATTTTGTAGGCAGTGAAAACGTGTTTGAACTGTGGTTTCTATGCACGCAATATAAGAAAAAAAAAATTCCCACATCTCTTCTAAAGGGAAGGGGTATTAGGAAAAAACAAATACCTCAAACCGCCCCTCACGGGAAGAGAATCAACAAATCAGGTACACGACTGACTGACTTCAATTTTAATGAGTTCCTTAGATTTTGTTCCTTTGAAAAGCACTTTTATCTTGTTTTCAAAGATTCGAAATATAAAATTGTTTACTTGTTTCCAGCAGCTGTTTTCTCCTTCTCAGATCGTCTTTATCTTCGAATTCGCTTACCAAGTGGTGTTTTGCAACTTGATTCTCAGGAGTAACCGCCCCCACCTCCACTCGTCCCCCCTCCCCTCCTAGCGTGAAAGGTCCGCTTTTGGTCTTTTCTTTCCTAGATGCATGTTAGCATCCTCTTTTTCTGATTTGCCCAGAAGATTTCAGGATGTAGCAGTGGCTTGGAGCCATTTACAGCCAAAAGATTTTTGTTATTATTTTTATTATTTTATCTTCAGCAAAGCCTACGGGGAAGAGGAGATTAAAGTCGCATGCCATTCCCTGCATCAGACTAGAGGGAAGATTTGTAACTATGATGAATGTTTTAGTCTTAGGCTTGAAAGAAACGCTCCCACTTTCGCCTAAATCTATGAATCCTGATGCGATGATTCAGAAAGCAGAAAGGTGTCTGGGAGGCTCTCTGTATGTCTTCTGATGCAGTGGGAAAGGGAAGGATTAGTGGCCCCCAAGTTTTAAAAGTATGACTTTTTTTTAAAGTTACTTTGCATATTTTTTAGAATTATCTCCTGGAAATTTATTTGTTTATTTTTGATTCAAGCTCAAGGGACTTAAAAATTACTGGTGAAAGACTAGCTCCCACTGTTGGGGGATGGATGTAGAAATTCTGGCACTCTTGTCTTTGGGTTTGGTAATGAGCGCTTCCTAGAATATGGACTTTGTACTGCCATGGTGCGCACCTCGGGGTTGCTAGCCGCCCATTTCCTAAAGAAGTTTAGGTGTCAAGTCCAAGCCCTCTGAGGCAACACTGAGTAATAGAAGAAAAAGACGGCTATGGAGAGCAGCGGGTGCACTGGAAGGGGCGATTCTGAGCTGCAGACAAGCTGAGAGCAGAAAGCTCAGGGAGCAAAGCAGCCTTTCGGGAGCCCTGTGCACATTCTGGCTTTCCACCCCCTTTTGGTTGACTCAGTTTTGATCTAAAGTTCTTCGCAAGATAGCAGCTGAATGTGCCCCGAAAGAATCAAAGGATGGATTTTCTATTTGCATCAAAACTTGTGGGGCTGGGATGTGCTCGAAGTCCTGGGGCTGTGGTAATGGAAACCACCGTTTGTGCTGTTTTCAGAGTTGAGGAAAGATCGATTGTCTGCTCCTTCTTCTCCCCCCCCCCCGAGTCTTCTCTGGCTCCCCCCCATCCCCAGACACTCAAAACTGGAATGTTTGTGCTTTAAGACTAGGGAGACTATTTCTCTGGAAAAGCCTTTTAGACCTTAAGTAACTTGCAAGAGACTATTTTGACAAGGTTCTGAAAATGGTGTCAGGAAAAGATTACCTCTTAATAACGCTGCCATTATTAGTGTTAAGTGTTTCGCATCCTGGTGGGTGATTTGCATACAGATGGGGCCATATGGGCTGAGAACTGTACTCCATTGTGTTTCTTTCCATTTCTATCTACCACTGCAAGAAAATAAGGCAGATATGCAGATCGAGTTGCCCTAAAAGAGGAAGTTATTTTAATTAGTTCTGGGAGAAAACTCAATATAGCTTTGGGATTAGAGTTGGAAGGCTAGGGTTCTGCTCAACTTTGTGTGTGTGTGTGTGTGTGTGTGTGTGTGTGTGTGTAAACTGGTCTAGTTGCGATTTCTCACTGTCATAGGAATTTAGAATTGGAGGTTAAACATAATATTTTCCAGGTGGATCTGGGTAGATGTCAGGTTAACTTTTAGTCCGCCTTTTCCACTTGGTCTTGCTTTCTCTTCCTACCAAAAACATAAATCACATTATCTGTAATTTTGGATTAGGAAACTTAATAAGTAGATATCTAAATAATAATAATAAACTTAATAAGTAGATAAGCCAAAAGAAAAAAGAAAGAAAGAAAAAGACAATCCCATTTTTAATTCTACTTTTCTTGTGGCTGTTGTAATCACTTCATATGATCCAGAAACGGATGTACTGGACACCTGCACCTCTTGTAGAGTTAAGGACCCTTGAATCTCAGAAGCTGATAGGAATACATCTTGACATTTCAGATTTATACAATGCTATTCTTTCTGAGCCTCAAAGTCCTTGTAAAATGGAAGTGTGAAGGAGAATTCTGGAACCAAGCTGTGTCTGCGAAGGCAAACTGATAGAGCAGAGCCTTGGCGACTTGAAGAAGCTGGAATGTTGCAGGGTCAGAGCCGAAATACAAATTATGGAATTATGATGGCCTGCCTTACCCTCCTGAGTAGCCATCCCTTGCTTACCTTGGAGGAGTCACGCTTTGGATTTGGTGGTCAAGGAAGGAAAGGGAAGGAACAACACACCTTCTAGACGATTGAAAAGAAAGTTAAAGGACAAATTTTAAACACTGTTTACTCAAAGCCACAACTTTAATCCCCCAGAGGATTAGAGATAGTTTATTCTGGAAACAAATATGAGTGACCATGGCCCCAGGACACAGAATTAGTTTACCTCCAATTCCATGTTTCCACATAAACATAGATTTTATGAGGTTTTGTAGTAATACAACAACAAAAAGCCATAAATCAAGACAGTGTCCAAATACATTGATGGGTACATCAGACAGGCAGGTTGTCCCAAGCAGAGAAAATTCTGCTATAGACTCAGATGCTATCTGACAGCCTTCTTAGGTCTTTGACTGCTGGAAGCCATGAGTTGGTTCATATATTCTGAAAGATACCTATCCATTCGTCACAGGATGCTTGGTGGCTCCTGCCCATATTCCCATCATTTGGGAGACAGAGGCAGACAGGCTGCTTCCAGTTCAATGCTAGACTGAGTTACTTAATAAGACAACACAATGAAGAAAAGAAAGGACAATGCAGTCGAAAAAGAAGTTAAAATAACAGATGTGTTGTTTCATACCAACCAGATAAAATAGTACAGGCCACAATCACTACACTGGTAACTAGTAACCACAAAATTTTAGTATTAAATGAATCTTTTCCTGAGGTGTTGGGCCCTTAACTTCTGTAGAACTTTCCTTCCAACATTCTGATTTCCGTATATTTCATTCAGGCAGGTAAGATATTTCTTACTTTTTTGCTCATCAAGTATAATCATGATAATGGAGTAGTATATTGAGCTATTCTGCCTTCTGTTACTGTAAGTGACATCTGAGACAATAGCTATTGAAGAGAAAAGCGTTGCTTTGGCTCAGGTTCTGGTGTTTCAGTTTGTGATTGCCTGGCCGTTACTCTGGACTGTGGCAGCATGTCATGGCAGGAAGATGAGGTCGCTCAAACTACTCACTTCGTGTCTGAGAAGCCGAAGGGTCACGAAGAAGCTGGCGTTCCATTATGTGTAATGCCCTTCAGGTGGTAGTCCTTCAAGGCCCTGAAGATATCCTCTTTGGCTCCACCTTCTGAGGCTTCTACCACCTCCCCAGTACAGTATTCCAAGCTGGGACCAAGTCTTAAACCAGTGCCTTTGGGGGGCACTAAAGATAGAAACATATTCTTCTATTGCAACTATAAGAAACTATGGCAACTCTGTTGTCTTAGATTTAGAAGCTAGGAGATCTAAAATTAGGCTGTTGGCAAGGCTGTATTCCTTGTGGCCTCAGGGAAAACCCACTTCCTTGCTTTATTTCAGCTTCTCTATGTTATTCTCTGTTGCCTGTCCCAGGAAATTTTCCTCCATGATAAAGTCAGTAGAGGAACAGCTTCAGATTGCCTTCCTCTGTTTCTCATTGGTTCATGGATTCTGCTCTTCTGTTTAACTCCCCCACACCACATTCTCCTACCTTCCTACTTCTCTTACAAGAATGTTTGTATGGGATTAACTCAGAGTAATCTCTCCATTGTACGTCGTTCATTTAGTCAGATTTGCTAAGTTGCAGTGTGTGTGTGTGTGTGTGTGTGTGTGTGTGTGTGTGTGTGTGTGTGATGTGAGGTAACGTATTCAGGAACTTTGTGGAATGCTTATATCATAAAAAATCTGCTATCAGCTGGATGGACACCTCAGATCCAGTAGCCACAGAGTTTACTAGGTAACAAGGAATACTACATCTGTAGCCTGTTGTGTCTCCCAGTTAGGCATGGAGTTGGGATCAAGGGAATCCTTGAAGCTGCAGCTCATCGAGGTGGTCATGTCTCCTAATAGGATGGTCTTGTAGGCTAACCATCCTTAGTTAACCTATAGTTAAGTTCTTCCTTCTATATCAGAAACTTAGGCTCGTGCTCGCTTCGGCAGCACATATACTAAAAATTGGAACGATACAGAGAAGATTAGCATGGCCCCTGCGCAGAAACTTAGGCTCCAGAGTCCTTTCTCTAGTGCCACGCATGCAATAGCGGAGAGTTTTCATCCTCAGGAGATCTTGGCTTCATTATAATTTATATTTATGTTGTAGTTTTGATCACCATCCCCTCCCTACAACTGTGGGCTTTCTAAAGGACCCTGGGAAAGAATATCTATAAGGGAAGATCCAGTCCACCACGATTTGGGAGAGAAAGAAGGCCCCATTACCTCATGAATATGCCACCCACCTCATAGGTATTTATAAAAGCATTATAAAAACCCATAGTCCATAGGCCAGTGAGATGTCTCAGTGAATAAAATTGTTGTCGCCCAAGCTGGATGGCTTGAGTTTGGTTCCCAGATACCACAGTGGAAAAAAAGAATCAAGTCCAAAAAGTTGTCTTCTGATTTCCATACCCCACACATGTACTTGGACATCCATGTGTCCCCCCAAATATAATAATGATGATGATAAACTAATAATAATAATGATAATAATAATAATAATAATAACCATTACAGAAAGGTAAACAGTTACTGGCTTACTGGTCGGTAATAAAAGGTTGCTGTGATATCAGAATTCCTTTTGAGGACATAAACCTCAAGAATAGTGGACATTTTTTCTGAACAACTATTATACACGAAGTCGTTACCCACTCATAGGCTGACTTTTCTCCCCATATTATGTGGGATTCCCCTCTGTATACCACTGGTTACCATGCCTCAGGGTCATCTATAAACCAATGAGACAGATTAGCAGAGGGTTTGATTCAGTGTATCTGCCACAGGGCTTGGTATTGTCTGTCTAACAACCCCTGAAGAAATGCAGGGACTTCTCATAGGGATGAATGAGCTAAGGGTTTATGCTGCTAGTGTTACTCTACAAGAGCTGAAATTCAGACTTCTGCGGAAGAAGAAAGACATCGTGTATTGGAGTCTCTGAGATCAGAGGAAGTTCACCGGCTTGCGATCCAGACCTCCAGCTACAAGAGCTCTCTGAATGGGATTGGTATCTTCACAGAAGGAGGAGATAATGAGGCCAGGTCTACAGAGGCTGGCAAAACTGCAACAAATTGAGCTTCAGAGACCAACGGGAAAGTGTTTTCACCGCAAGATAAAGAAAACCGGCTGGGGTGACGGTCACAGGAACAGCAAGCAAATAAGACTCTCTGTGGATGTTCTTTCTCACTAGCGCTTGGTGTTAGGGCATGCTACTGCACAAATGTGGCTGGCAGAGCCTAGTGTCAGAAGGTGCAGTGTAGAAGGATGAAACAGAGACAATGCTTTAACCAGTGGCACAGCTAATTGTATTTCTTTTCTAAGAAGTAACATAAAGTGTTTTTAAATAGTGGTAGAAAAATCAGTTCTGAAAAGATGATTTCCTCTTAGTCTTTCAATGGGTTAGTTTATAACAAAACAGTTCAATTATCTCTTTCTGGGAAATCACACTACCCTGGGCTTAGCACAAATCAAAAATGTCCCCTGTCCTTACAGAGAGTTAGGCATTGTCATTAGTGTGCACCATAGCAGTGAACTTCAAGCTCACTCCTTCTCTGTTAGTCGTATGTATTCGTATTAGTCATGTGAATTCTGTTTTTTTTTTAAATTAGAAAGGTAGAGTTTCCAAAATTAACTCTATCCAGAATTGTTCATACCAGAAATATTTTGGATTTTGTTTTTTTTTTCTGATTTAGGAATATTTTTGTATTTATACTGATAAATATAATGGGGATAGAATCCAAATATTAGCAATAAGCCTGCATGTACCCCATAGACATTCTGTGCACCTAGCCTAAAAGTAATTTTATGGAGTATTTTGAAATTTCGTGCATGAAACAAAGCTCCATGGTGATAAATTTTCACTGGTGTCATCACGTTGGTGCTCAAAAGCGTTTTGGGTTTTGGAGCATTCCAGGTTTCAAGTTTTCATTTTACAGATGCTCCACACGTAGAACTAAATAAATACACAAATAAACTTGAAGCAGGAGCTCGTAGAACTCTAACTGCTGTCTGGATTTCAGCTGTTTGGATCACTGGAAGGATTTCATTGTTCTTATCGATTTCAATAAGCAAGTGGCATCAATTTTTACATGTGAGTAAATCTGGTAGTAAACTATGAAGAGGGTGCAGATGGCTGCTCTGTGGAGCATGCAGTGACATAACTTCTCTAGCGATCGGCCATTACACACACTACTTAAATCCTTGTACAAATTCCTTAGGGAAGAAGAAGAAGAAGAAAAAATAGACTTGGAAAGAGAGAGCCCAATGCTCATAATCCCTTTGGGATACCTGGGGAAAATCAGAATTTTTATACAATAATAAAATTCATTATTACTTTTTTATTCTTATAAAATTCCCTATTGAGAAGAGTCCAGCTGAGGTTTCTTGGGGGGTTCAGGAGATAGTGTCTTAGACTTTGTTTATAAGTACCTTCTCAGGGTTTGGTTTGAATCTACAATCTAGGTTTACTTGAAGCCTCCAAAGACAGATATATATGAACATTTATCTGTCATTTTGCAATCAAGGGAGAAATGCGCTACAGATTTTCTATTTTCTTAGCCAGAGGCAGTGACTGCACTAGCAACATAAACACAGATGTGAGGATCTGCACAATTGCACCTCTTCAGAAGCACATGGATATTTCCCCTTGAGATGACTAGTCCTGGGTCTCAGTTTGAGTTTAAAATGAGTCATTTCTTATATCTATCTTGATATAGTGGACTTGGTCTGAGAATAAAGCCATCCTGGGCAATAAAAGTTTCACCTTAATGTTCAGCTACAATAAACCAAAACACCATTACCTTGAAATGATAGAGCACTCTCACAGTCAAAACACATCCCCATGAATTGTTTTCTTTCCTAAGCAGTTAAAGAGGTCACCATTATTATGATTTTATAGATGAAGAAACTATAGTCTCCATCAAGTGAAGAAGCGATCTACATTTATAACCCCAAAGATTTAGAACTCAGATCCAGCTAACGTCTCTGAATCTGATCTTTGATTTCAAAGCCTGAACATCGGTCATCAGGGAAATGCAAATCAAAATTACATTGAGAGTCTATAATACCCACTCAGAATTACTATCATCAAGAGAACAAGCAGCAATAAATGTTGATGAGGATTCAGAAAAAAAGGAACTTTATTCACTGTCTTTTATTTTTCTGAGTCATTGATCAGTGTTGTTCAAGAGACTCCCCAAACATACAGCCTACTAGAATAAATTCATCCATTTCTTTTATGTTTTACAGCTTAATGGAGTATAAGTTTTAAAAGCATCCCCCTTTATTATTCTGAATTTCCTTTCCTTTCCTTTCCTTTCCTTTCCTTTCCTTTCCTTTCCTTTCCTTTCCTTTCCTTTCCTCTCCTCTCCTCTCCTCTCCTCTCCTCTCCTCTCCTCTCCTCTCCTCTCCTCTCCTCTCCTCTCCTCCCCTCCCCTCCCCTCCCCTCCCCTCCCCTCTCCTCTCTCTCTCTTAGTTAGACCAAGAGCCTGTCAATTTTGTTTATCTTTTCAAAGAACCAGCCTTTGCATTCATTGATTCTTTGTATTATTTCCTGTATTTCTATTTCACTTATTTCTGCTCTGATATTTAACTGCTTCTTGCCATCGATTAGGTTTGAATTTGGTTTGTTCTCGCTTTGCTAAACCTTTGGGTTGGATCATTTAGCTGTCATTTGTGCTCCTTCTGATTTTTAATGGAGGCACTTGGAGTTATAAATTTCCTTCACAAAATTCCTTTTAATATGTCACAGACATTTTTGTTCTTTTGTGTTTTTGTTTTTATTTAGTTCCAATAAATTTTTTATTTCTTGATTTCGTCTTTGACTCATTCATTATTAATTATGAGTTATTTAATCTCCATAAATTTATGTATTTACTAGAGATTTGTGACCTGATAAGATACAGGGAATGATTTCTTTTTTTTAAAATTTATTCTTCTCTCATACAATATGTACAAACCACAGCCTGCCCTCCCCCTATTCCTCCAGGTACCTCCACTATCTCCCCTCTCATCGAGATCTCCTCCATTTCCCTTCAGAAAAGAGAAGGCGTCCCAGGAATATCAAACAACACAATATAACAAATTAAAATAAGACTAGGCACAAACCCTTATATCAAGGCTGGATGAAGCAAGTCAGTAGGGGGAAAAGGTTCCCAAGAGTGGGCTCCCATGTTGGAGAAGGGCTGCTGGTTTGTTCCTGGCCGCCTAGACCCAAAATAACCACACAGAAACCATACTAATTAAAACACTGCTTGGCCCATTAGCTCTAGCTTCCTATTGGCTAACTCTTACATATTAATTTAACACATTTCTATTAATCTGTATATCACCATGCGGTTGTGGCTTACTGGGTAAAGATTCTAGCATCTTTCTCAGGTGGCTCCAAGTCTTCTCTCTGACTCCACCCTTCTTTCTCCCAGCATTCAGTCCAGTCCTCCCCACCTAGCTCTGCTCTGCCCTGTCCTGCTCTGCTATAGGCTCTAAGCAGTTCTTTATTTATTAATGGTAGTCACAGCATACAGAAGAAGATCCCACATCATTCCCACTGTTAGGAGTCCCACAAAACCTCCAGCTAAACAGCCACAATGTATATGCAAGGGACCTAGTGTAGAACCATGCAGGTTCCAGTAATTGGCTTGCCAGCTCTACAAAGACCAGTCATGGCTGGCCAGCTCTACAAACTCTGAGCCACCCTTACCCCAGAATATCTTCCAGACAGGACGAGTTGTAAGTGAAGGTTTTGTGGCTGGGTTGTTGTCCCAGTCCCACCATTGGAAGCCTTGCCTTGTTCCAGAAAATGGCCAGTTCAGGCTCCATATCCTCCATTACTAGGTGTTATCCCAAGGTTACCCTCACATATTCTAGCAAGTTTCCACATCACCTTCCAAACCCCCCAATTCCAGTCATCTCTCCCTGTACTCTCTTCCTCTGTCCTTCCTTCTCCCACCTGACCCCTCCTGCTCCCATCCTCATCTACCCCAGTCCACCTGCAAATTCTACTCTATTTCCCCATCCCAGGGAGACCCGACCATCGCTGA